ACATTCATAGTTGACTACAATTGTTTTAAAAATACATGTTAGTAATAGTTAAATTAAATTAAAGCATTTATTACGTTTAATCTCTTTATAAGATCAATTTCTATATATGCTGAGCGCACACATTTATAAAATATTGTTTACACAAATAAAACTGATATTTATAATCATCATCTGTAAATAATGATAAGATATTTAATCAATATCAGCTTGAAGATGTAATTCTTAGTGCATACTTGGGAGTAAAGTGAATTTGATAATGTAAGTTCAATCTAATTAGACATATGAATTAGTGCCTTAATCATTCATAGTTTAGTGCCAGCATGATGAAAAAGCTGAATTATCTTAAACGCTAAATAAGATCATGAAATAAAGGAACAGCTTTGTTAAACTTTAATTCTAGATTATAATTGTAGCCCACTTTTAGGAAATTAGGCATTTATATAGACACATGATTAGTAAGGTCAAGAAAACGTAATTAATACATATTAAAAATGCCCGTTTTATTGTCAATCAGAAATATTCGATATTTTAAGAGAATAATACTAAAGGTGTTATTCAACGTATAGTGCATAATTATCAACGCTAGATTTCTATGCACAGTCAAATAGTGCCATAATGCCACTTTATTGATACACTTAGAATCCAATTAAATAAAATATGCTGTATTTAGCAATCTTCTGTACAATAAATATTATCGTCAATGAATTAATTCAGTCTAGGATACGATCATAAAGCCCTGAAACAGCTTGATTTATTTCGTTACGGTTCATGCACTTTATGAAATCCGGCTATATAAGGATAAATTGTTTTTAGAGAAGATAGATTAATATTGATAATGAAATCTTCTTTGAATACGTAATTATGCGACGTTAATATGAAGTAACATAATACTTGCTCATGATTTATCCATGATCAATCGTATAACGAGGCCATATTTATTATTAATAGTCGCAGATAATAGCTACTAATTTTATTATAATTCGATATAACATTAGGTACGATAGATTTGATCCAAAGTCCCATTCATGTCTTAAATCGCTTCATTTTCTGCAAACTTACATTTTCTTAGCATATGATATAGCAACACATATTAAACTGTCGATAGATAATATTAAGGGGCCATCAGACTATCTATGAGAATGGAACACTAGCCCCCTTGAGAGATTAAAAGATTTCCAAATTTTATGCCTAGTAGTTATCTACCGTACATTAAGATTTTTTATAGTCCGTGTTCTATATTGATATATATTTGCGTTTAAGACAAACAAATAGTTTATTAGTTGTGATAAGATATTACTTCAAAGTTAGCGATGGCGCTAGCTTAATAAACGAAATAATCATCTATTTTGATAAGCAATTTTGAAACCACTCGAATTTTATCAAATGATTGGTTTCATGGCTATTAATTGTTCAGTATAGACAAAAGCATACCAATTATCAAATAAAATTTATGCTGATTTGTACCAAGCACATGGTTGTAAGTTATAAAGATGTCAATAAATTATGACCATCAGTTTGAAGTGAAAAACATGAAAGGCTATATTGTGTATTTATACTGAGTTTTATTAAATTCTATTGATATAAAAAATTTCATAGAATCGTAAAATTGACACTATGCACAGTAGTGGCAACATAATTGGATATGTTTACGGGTTAATGAAGTGATGATAATTTCGGCGAACTTTGACGATACATGTTGATTTTAATTTCATTAGATCTTCATATAGTTAATCTATCGTTTTATATTAATTTTTAATTGTAAATTTCTACTTTTCAGCAACTGTTTTAAATTGAACGGCCTTATATATAATAATTACAGTAAAAGCAATAGTTTTCGGCGGACCTCAACGTTTCGAGTGTCTTGACAATATCTCAACCGCCATCGTGGTCAGTAACTTTAATAAACGGCACTTATTCGTCTATAAATGATAGTTCTATTGATAATTTGGATTGAAATATCCTTTTACAAGAATTCGTGCCTTTTAAGTTACGTTCCTTGATAGTATCTTTGATGTCATCGAAGTTTATCGAAATTATAGTAAGTCATTGACTGATTTAAACGTAAACTAAATTTTGATAACCTTAAAATTTAATTCAATAAAGTTTATTATGCTGAAGGTAACTTATTAAAGTTATCCCATTGACAATTATTTGAGTAGGATAACAAAAAAGCATGTTAATTTGTAAGGAATCCATAACTAATAATTGTATCAATTATTCTTTTATTCTTGAGATAAGGCTGCATATTATCAAATTTACTTAAACAATTAAGATATGTATAAGGTATGATTATTTAATACCGGTAATTATCATTCTCCGTCGCTGACAGTAGGAGTTCATAGCGATAGCTATTAAATGATCAATAGAACTAAAAAGAATTATTAATCATTATTATTGCCATTATTCCTTGAAGTAATAATAGCGATTAAATCGTTAATACAACATCTGATCGCTTGTACTATTAATTGCTTTTATGAAATATTTATCTAGTAAACAAAAAATTATAGATTGTAATAAAGTTAGATTAAACATCACAAGTACTCTAGATTAAAACTTACAAATTATTTTGAAAATATTTTTGATGTTTCTTGTCAGATATTTATGGGGCGTAACAGGAATGTATGCTGTATTAATTCAGTTTACTTATTTATAAATATCTGTTGTATAGGAATTTAAAGATTATGTTATTTAGTTATCTAAGAATTCTCATGGATAATTTTGGAATGGCAAAAACAGTAGAATTTATGGACCTGGCTCCCTTCTTATTTATCGCTGATAGATACATCTCGCAGAATACCAAACTCTAGTAGAAAAAAACCTTTACATGAAAATTATGATTTCTGAAACTATTGGAACCAAATTAGTTCTACCTGACATTTCTTACGTTTAATATCTATTTTCTGTTGCAATTATATCCTGATTACTAGCAACGATTAATAGACTCAAATTGCACTATAAAGAGGACGATTAAGTGTAAGTATTTCAAAATAGAAAAGTATTGCCAATCTGATTTAAGCTACAGTATTTGAGCTAAAGATGAGTGCATTACGTATACACATTGAAGGAATTAGGTCTAGTCGACAAACTTTCGTATTTATTCACCTCAACAGGTACAGTATTCGTGATAATAAACTATAAATTATTTAAGTAAATTATGTAGACTAACCAATAAGCAAGTAAAAATATCGTATGAATTATTATTCATATATATGAATGATGAATATAGTAGAATGTCAGTCTATTCATTATTAAAATTCGTGGAATTGATTACCTTAAAATAGGCTGATTGAATAATAAGTTCTCATTGATTGCTGAATACCACTTGCATTATTTGGCCTTTTAATATTCCGTTAGTTTGAGAGTATTATAAATAAGCTATAAAAATTCCTAGAACTGGTCAGTTATTATCACCGTTAATATATACTGATTTATAAATGACGTAATATTCGACGTCTTTTCAATAACAATAGCTAAAGGTACTTAAATAATCTTAAAATCGATATTCTGCTCCAATAATTAGATATACAAGTATTTAGATGGCATAAAATATCCTGAGCTATTAGATCGATTTGATTCTTCTAGGGGTGAAGGTATTTTGAATAGATACTGGTAGTTATTCAAAATCTCCATCTGAGAATTAAGAAATGTTAAGTATTGCATTAAAATCGCATTCTGCAGCTACCTACATGCTCTTCAGATAGCAAGGATAGTTCGATTTTATGACACTTGGACTAAATGCTTTAATTTAAGGAAAGATATCGCAGCTTTAGCGTAGGCATAAGGAGCTCTATTCCGTAAATACGATCGATGTTAGACTCTGATCCACTCATGATCTGTATAATCTAATAGTGCTAAAAACTGAAGTTTAAATGCATTTTATAAGATTATTTATTATGTACTGCCGTTGAGACATATTTCAAAATTAAATATTTCATGACTATAGTATTTTATGTGTTTCAATCTATAGTCATTGACTAATGTTAAAGCATATAAATAAGTTACAAAACCCGTTTATACTAATTGATTATATTTGATTGCTACTTCATTTACTATAATATCCTTGTTATCACACATTAAACTAGCCCGTGGACTACTGTAAAAAACTAATTTAAATCTTTATTTATTTAGTTCAACCAAAACTATTCATATATTTACGCGGTATGTGATCACATTGATATAAAACATTATTCAAAATTCTAATTAGTACTACCACACATTTACGAGTAGCATAGGAAATAAGTTTATATGATTGCTGTGTAATTAGGGTGAGAATATAGATATTAGTGCTAAATATCAGTGAATACTAAACAACTTCATAATGAACATTAAATTAAACTGCATGATTGTAGATATTACATTATTGAAATACGGTAATTAATCAGAATTGCAGCTCGAACATTCTTATAAGACGTTATCTAGTTAATAATTATCATTCTACGATTTAAGTGCATACGATGGAATCATTTCTTTCTGTCACTGTAATTGAAAGAGAATACTATCGACAGAATACCATATAATGCAATGTGTGAGTTAAGATAATTGTCTACTTCGTATTAAAATTAATTGTTGAAAATGCGTAATTGAATAAAGATGAGAGAATATTGGCATCCACATATAAATCTAGTAAAATTTAAATTGTGTATCTGATTATATTTGCAGCATATTTTTAAAATAAGAAAGGCAGCAATTATCGCCTAAGAAGTGTAAACATTTTATTCTGAGACACATCAATCCTATTTTTATGTTCAAAAAGCCTCTTAGCCGCTGGAAAGGTATACATTTTACAATTTAAATAAAATATTTTTTCAAGAACCGAGAATTTTACTCATTTTGATAAATCGATTTTTTAGACTCAATAATGCTAAATTTAAGCTTCTACGCTGCATGAAATATCTGAAACTCAGATATTAATCGATAAAAGGATAAATACTAGAGTGATCAACTTACATTTAGTTATTAGAATCATCTACCAATCGGCTACTGTTATATACGGTAATTAATTAGGATTTTTGCATTTTTTTTCTACTTTGGTTATGGGCAAATTTGAATATTGGTGTAATCCTATTTAACTCCAGTAGCACTTGCAATTTCGCTAGTTTATCAGCAAAGCTATTATGACGCAATGAAACGGAATCGCGCACTTTATAAACGGCTGTGTCTTCCTTTTCCAATCGAGACAAGTAATCCTCTATCGCGTTTACAATTTCATTAGTGAATATTACACTTTCATTCGTTTGAGGGTCTGATATATCTGTATCAGACATCTCGCCATACCGATTTTGAGGAACACCCATGCAGCCGATATTAGCAATTAGAGCCAAAATGACAATTTCTTTCAAGATTTTCATACTTTTAGATTTGATAATTTAATCTTGGCGATACCTGCAAGAATAAATATTTCCGATCTGAAAATTAGAGACTAAAAATTTAAAGATAGGAAACGATGAAAAGATAAAAAATCGTTGATGCTATAGAGATTCTGTGAATCTTTCTATAAAGATAGATTTTAAACGAGAAATAAATATCGATTACAAAACAGGTCAGAATTTTTTCATTAGAAATGAAAACCTATGGCAAAGAAATCGATAGAAGATCGGTATAATATGCCCATCACAATTAGAGTTTTAAACAGAGTAACGTTGCACAACAATAATGGGTAGTTTATACTATATGTAAATTGAACATGATATTTAAATTTTCTTCAGATAGTACGGTGTGATATTGTAAACTAAGTTGAGAACTAATTTCAGAGTTTTTTAGAGACATATTTTAATTTAGTTTCATCGTACCGGGAAGAGAATAATTGAAATTGAAGATGTGGCTAAAGGATTGTATTAAGTACGATAATATTGCTGTTAAATTGACTCCTCTGGCTCATTACCGGGCATTTTTACATAATTTAGCTGGCTAATGATTGATGAAGTATAGTATGTGAATTTTTTAATAATATGAGTAACAACTTTATTCATTATTTATAGATGTCAAAGGTTTTAAGACAATTGAATGTTTTAAATTAAAATTGTTATAATTTTCAGCTCCCTACTTATCCTCTATAACTAGCGAACAGATGTAATTTAACTAAGGAAACGGATCAGTAACCTTCATTATTTAGAATATAATTAACAAAGATATAGGTTTTTAATTTACGTTCATGAATTCGTAATGAATAAAATACAAGTTTAATAATTGATATGAAAATAATATTGAATTAGCAGTAGTGATATCGCATTACATAATAAAATTCAATGATAAAGTTAATTTTATTCTTCCTGCACATTAATGTTGGTGATTGTTTATATTTTTTTCCGCCCAATACCTTTAGAAATTATATCGTAATAATTTTAGTCATGAATTAAGAAGTTATCGATAACTGATTCTTCCGTAGAAATAGGTCTAAAGCAGTAACCCATGTAGCTAGTAACGCCACCAAAGCAAACTGGAGTAAAGCTTTCCTGCTTTGAAATGAAAATTGATATAAGATATCGCACGCGCTTAAATATGATACATTTCGTATTATTCAGCATCTTAGAATAATAGTGATGCTATACATTCTTAGATATCAGTAGTTGGCATTGAACTACGTCCGATACACCTACTAAAATAGCAGAATAAAATTCATGTGAGATATAATACCAGCAAGATGTAGCACTATTATTTGCATTGCCACTTTAATATTTCCATCAGCCACTACGACATGAAGTTATTACTTGTGACTACCGAATCTTCTCTTTGCATTCATACCGGAAGCTAAATTCACATGATTTAGGTACGTATATAAATTTGAATATAAAGTTAAAAGCGATATTATTTAAATATCATCGTACTGTATGTAGAGAGTTAAAATATTATTGCTTATTACGGATTATACTTTCAAGTTTATATTGATCGCAGCCGCTTACATAAAATATCGTTCATTAGATAACAATGTAGTATACATGCAGTACCTGACGTCTTTTCAATAGCAACAAAAGCATCATCGTTAATGTGCTAAAGCAAAACTATCGAATTACATGTCCAATTATTTTCTAATGAGACACGGCTGCGAAGTAGCAAATAAATTGAAAAGCTGTAAATAAACAAGGTCTTATTAAGAAAAATAAAATTCTTGAAAACGGTAACATGCTAGTAACAGCAGTAAATGACTATAATATTTATTAAACAGGCAATCCTATTTTGCATTATTTACATAAGTAAAATTTTACTCGTAGAACTTATTATGCTAATATAATGTTGCCGATTTCGTTTTATCAAACATACCATTATTTTAGTTCGTAGCATAAAAGAATAATTTTCTTCATACGAATTCCGCTCGATTCGATAAAATAGAAGTAAAATAATTTTCAGAACAATATTTTAAGTATTCTGGTCATGATCAAAGCAGGATGCTTCGATTTCTAGAAAAATATACAGAAATTAGAATTGTCAAAGTTACAATAAAATAAGATCTCATGCGTATTTAGAATTCGTAAAATTAAGTTCGGAGGTAAATATTTATCTGCTTTTTTGGCAGTCATGAAAATTCTACATTACGAATAATACGACGAAACATAACCTAATTTGTAGAACGTTTCTTCTTTATTAAGGGTGATTATGTCTTACAGCATCAGCTATAAAAGTTTCGAGCGCTAATAGGCGTTTCAGTAGATGATTAAAGTAGTTAATTTTTAACCATTTCATCGAGCTAATTCTATATGATAAGTGCTATGTATAAATAATATATTACGATTCGCAGCATAGGTGTATGACAGAAATATGTAAGATTGATAAAGTAGCTNTCTAATTTAAATTTTTATATATATATTTATAGTATTCAGCAAAAAAATAATATCAGTACGATCAGGTAATGGTTGTGTAACAAATAATAAGTATCAACACAATTATGACTTATCTTTATTGATAATGCTAAGGTTATGCTTCGATTAAAATTAAAATTTGTTTAAGCTTTTACAGGTGTATAATTGCCAAAATTTGATATTAATAAATAATAGACATGGACAAGTAAATATTTTTAAACATTTACCATGAATAACACTTAAAACAAAGCATGGTTTAAAATTTTAGCTCTCACTTTTAATGACTCAACACCAGTAACTAAATCTACGATAGAATAATTGTTTCTCAATATTCTAAACAAAATCTAAGGATAGGCTTATGATTTGTCCCTCTATCATAATATCATAGGTTATATAAAAAAATATAAATTTCACTGAGGCGTTCATTAGATATAATTTTAAGCTTATGAAGGCATGATATATTAGATCGTGCGATAACACTTAACAAAACCTGAAGTAGCCTACACTATGAAAGTATGAATAACCGTGAAAGTTGTTTATCTGCAGTACTCACTTCTCTTTTATTACCTTTTCTGGCCTATACATAGTAGGTTTCTATCTACTGATTGTATTTCATTTAGCGGACTGATTATACTACTAAGAGTGCGTCAGTATCTGAAATAGCCATAATATTTCATGCTCATTCACTCCAGGACTATTAGGAAATAATCTCTAACATGTGCTGCAGTTCAAAAGTGCAAGCAAAATAGGTCATTAAACGATGATTATTATACGTACAGTAATTAACTATTTATTAATCATTTATAGTTTAAGTATTGATAGTCTTAGGAGCAGATTAGACATTCAGACTATAAAAGAAAACTATTAATATCTGTACGCAGGTATAAAATGCTTTAAATCGAAGTATTGGAAGATGCTATATTCTTAGCTGCTTGTTGACACAATTTATTTCCCATAACACAAGATCTAGTAAAACTTATGTCGCTGTTTCATTGAATGTTTTGCTTGGTATCTGAAGCAATGAATACTTTTAGATTGATATAGACCTAGGCTATTTCTGTAGCCTACTTAGCCATATTAAGCTTTATATGCAAAGTTGCTCTAAATACGTAAGAGTTCATAAAATTTCCAGTATATTGAAAATTTGACAATATAAAAAATTAATGAATAAATTATAGAAAATTATACGTTATTTCCCAATTAAATTGAAATAATAAACTTGTTTGATAAATGATATTTACATTCGTTTCAGGTCCTAAATTATAGTTGACAAGGTTATGTTTTGAGTCTCACAAATATTCTTGTGACATAGATGTACTATAATCGTACAATAAGATAGAGTAGTCCAGCTGCTTAGTTCTTTAGTAAACAATTTATCATTCCATTTGAAGATAATGATCAGTCTTTCGTAATAATTCTATATTTCAGCTGATAGTGTTAGTTCTTCTATTAAGAATTGTAGATGTTTATAATGCATACAGCATCAGATTATGCTAGTTGTATTGTATATACAAACTTTAATTTGTTGCAATGCTGGTTTGGAGTGTTACGATCAGGCCTCTTCAAAAATAAATTTTTATGGTGACCGAGATAACTGGAAGATTGTATTGGAGGTTCTAGTACTTTTAACAACGACGTAATCTACAAAATTATAATGTTCAGTTATAAACTCATTTGAAAGAAACACTTAAAGTCCAATTTTTTACGCCTTACAAATCATTACATAGAAAAAAGTAGATACTCGTATATCGACTTTTATCTTATATTTTCTTTTATTGTCATTTTTTGGATGAGAATAACAAGTAATAGAATGTCGGGCTGCTAACTGCATTAATATCTATTAATTTTAATTCCAAAATGATTAATTCATGATTTCTGTTAAATTTAAGTTGCTGACTTTGTTAACGGTTTCGAAAAACTCGACATTGATAAATTTGATCCTATAACGTACTTTTGGCAGATATTGATATGTAAATTTATAAGTAACAGAGCAACTGTGTTTGTAATCTATTAATCTTTCGGCTAATATTACATTTATCCAGGAAAATGAATAAACTTTTCAAATGTTTTGTGCTCCATTAAAACTTCATTAGAGATTGCATTACTGCTGTGCATTTACTACGCGAATAAATTAATATTACCAGATGAGACTCCCTGCGACAGTTGTCATGCTCACATTTTAGAGAATTTCTGTTCAAGATTAATTATTATTGCTCTAGATCAATAGATGATTTCATTTATAGTGCCTTTAAATAATTTCTTAAGGATTTGCAATATAGCTTAATATAGTATGGCACTTTTCTGCAATTGTACAGACCACCGTCTCTGATTAGACTCTGATCCAATAACTGCAAAAGAAAAAATAATGAAGTTTATTTTACATAATAATGATCTTCACTCAAGAAATCACACAAGACGAATTTGTTTCTGTATACCAGTAAGTATTTATAGTAGTAGTTGCTATGCAAGTGACTGTATTTCGATACTTTATCGATGTTTTCATGATGCATCAAAAATGATTATGAATGAATATTGAAGAAACTAACGAAGATAGT